AGACCCAAGGCAATGTAGGTTAAAAGCAAAATGCACCTAAAACAAATGTAAGGGGAGAGTGTTAAAATAAACCTATTGCAGGCAAATAATTTTAAATAAGCCATCCTAGTAAAATTAATTTTTAAAACATTTTAAATGGCGTTAAAACATAATAAAAGATCAAAGTCTTGTGTCTTGCATGTCTTCAAACTTTTGAATGCTTGTGTAAATAAAATGGTCTTTGCCTTGTAGTTTAGGTTGCTTACTTCCACAAGAACCTCAATTCCCCTTCTGCTGTTCCAAAGTGTTCTCCAAAGTTTGGTCATCCAGATGTTTTGGACTTCATTTCCCAGAAATCCTGATCATTGGTCCAACTGGCTTAGGGCTTCTGGGACCTGAGGTTCAAAACACCCGGAGAACCAAAGTTTGGGAAACATTGGGCTAGAACATGAACCAATGGATTCAAATGACAAGAAGACAAATTCCACCGAAACATTAGGAAGAATGTCTTAACCGTTAGAGCTGCTTGATCATGGAATGGATTCGCCGGACACTGGATTCTCCTTTGGAGGTTTTAAAACAGTAGTTGGATGGGCATCTGTCAGGGGTGCTTTAGTTGTGTATGCCTGCATGGGAGAGGGCTGGACTAGTTTGTTTGTTAATTTGTATGCCACCTTTCTCCCAGAAGGGACCCAAGGTAGATCACAGATAAAACATTAAAAAATCTCAATAAAATTTAAAACAATTAAAATCATCTACACCAATAGTTAGCCCTTGAGGTTCCTTCCAACTCTTTAAGATTCTATGTAGGCTAAGCAACAGACTGAACATTGCCTATCCCTAAAATGAAGAAGAAAAGGCGTACGTTTTTAATTCCAAGCTCACACACAAAAAAGCATCTAGTCCCTATGAGGCAATGCCACAGAGAGCAGGAAGGGGAACACAGCTTATTGTGGACCAGGTTTCCATTTGACAAGAGAATAAAAATGCCCAACCATATGTTTGCAATATGTGCCGCGATGCTTTCTGGCTACTAAGTACCAATTAGATGTTTCCTTGGGAAGGAGCAGATCTCCCTTTGCTACCAGATCTTATTGAAATGGGAAGTTTATAAAAAATATTATTACACTAAAGACTGTCTCAGTAACAGCGCATCCAGAGGGGAGCATTAATGGTCCAGAATGCATGCCAGTTTTTTCTTCCTCCATCCAGTTTGAGAAATCTTCTTCCATTTGTTAATGGGGCATTGGGGGCATCTATTATGTATGGAGCGTATATTCCTCACTACCATCAAGCAACACTCTTGCCTTAAAATTACTCTCCATACTATAAAAAGAAGAAAAGAGAGGAAAAAGGAGGGAGAGGCCTGTACTCACAGTCTCCAGATACAGAAGTGAGGGAAACTGCAATATCAGTGTGTGAGATCACAACCGGATTCAGAGATTATATGTTATACAGACCCTGGAATTGCAGAGCACATAAGGACTAAGGACTGCTTCGTTGAATGTGGCTTTTGAGGTGTTTGACTTGTGCTTGTAGATCATTGCTTGCTTGGGGATTATTCTGTTTTGGTCAGACCTCATTTGGAATCCTGTGTCCAGTTCTGGCCACCAAAATTCAAAAGCTGGAGCGTGTCCAGAGAAGGGTGACCAAAATGATGATAGGTCTGGAAACCATCAAGCCCTATGAGGAATGGTTTAGGAAGCTGGGTATATTTAGCCTGGAGAAGAGAAGGTGAAGGGGTGACATGAAAGCCAGGTTGACATATTTGAAGGGGCGTCCTATTGAGGATGGAGCGAGCTTGTTTTCTGCCCCTCCAGAGACTAGAACGCAGAGCAATGGATTGAAACTATAAGAAAAGAGATTCCACCTAGGAGGAAGTTTGCCCTTGCCTTCCCCTGAGGCTGAGAAGGTGTGACTTGCCTAAGATCACCCGGTGGGTTTCCATGACGGAGCGGGAAATTGAACCCTGATCTCCAGAGTCATAGGGCCTTTGCAGACTGCCAGAAATAGTGCAAATTGAGTCCACTTTAAGGGTTAGGGTTAGTGCTAGGGAATCATGGGAATTGTGTTGTGTTTTTTTTTCTGAGACATTGAGAGAGCTCTGGTGCCACAATAAAATACAGTTCTCATGATTCCCTAACCCTAACCCTTAAAGTGCACTGAATTTGCACTATTTCTAGCAGTCTGCAAAGGCCCATAGTCCCAATGCTCAAACCACTATGCCACACTGACTCCCATTTACTGCTCCAAAATAATTTCTGCAAGCTATGTAAAAGGAAAAGATTTTATATCGGACTATGGACAATATCAGATCACTGTAATTCCTGGTCTCTCTCACTTTTTCTTAGTTTTATTTTTATAGAAATGGGTGCATTGTGTCTGCATGGGACTATGAAGACCCAGTGGTGGCAAAAAAAGGTCTCTGTTTTATTCATCTTAATTTTCTCTTTGATTTTCATTGTTCACCCCTGTTCTTAAAACTTTATAGTCCAAGTATTCCTTATACTTCAGGATCTTGTAGCTCCATCTGTAATCTGAGAGAGAGAGAGAAGGCAAGTTTAATTTCTAATTATATTCTGAATGTTGTTGTTGTGTGCCTTCAAGTTGTTTCCAATTTATGGTGATCCTAAGGCGACCTGTGGCATAGTGGTTTGAGTGTTGGACTGTGACTTTGGAGACCAGGGTTCGATTCCCTGCTTAGCTATAAAACCCACTGGGTGACCTTGGGCATGTCACATGCTCTCAGCCTCAGAGGAACCTCTCTAAAGAAATCTTGCCAAGAAAACTCCATGATAGGTTTTCTTAGGGTTGCCATACATTTAAAAAAAATGTCTTCAACACACCCAACAACAAGAAGGGCACCCTATCATGGGATTTTCTTGCCAAGATTTGTCCAGAGGGAATTTGCCATGGTCTTTCTCTGAGGCTCTGGATGTGAATCTGGGCCAGTCTCTCTGCTACCTCATTTTGCAACCTGACCTACCTCACAGGGTGGTTGTAATGATCAAATGAAAAGGACCACATACATCACTTTTGAGCTCACTGGATAGAAATGCAACTAAGTAATAAAAAAAAAAACATTTATGGAGCTGGGTATCAAATGCGAAGTGGCCTAAAGGCACCAGATCTGGGAAGCTAAGCAGGGTCGGCCCTGGTTAGTACTTAGATGGGAGACTGCCAATGGATACCAGGTGCTGTTGGCTGTACTTTAAAGGAAGAAACTGGCATACCTATTTCTGAGGATTCCTGCCTAAGAAAACCCTATGAAATTCATGGGGTGTCCATAAGCGAAGGCACACATGCCTACAATGCGAGGCTAATAACAATGGGTCTGGGAGTCTGTGGCCATCTAGATGTTCCTGCATCACAGCACCCATCATCCCTGACCATGCTGGGGCTGATGGGACCTGGAGTTCAACAGACTCTTCCCGCATCCTGATCTAAAGTCTCTACTCCCAAGTAAGTCCTTATGCTGAGGTTTCCTCCCAAGTCAGGGCAGAGGGAATTGCAGCTTTCAATGGAGCCTTGAAATCAAGGTTTCCAGGGAGAAGCGAGTCCCACTGGCATTGGTTGGCGGTCTCCCATCCAAGTGCTAACCAAGGCTGGCCCTGCTTAGCTTGGGTGGGTCACTCCTTGGGCAAAGTCCAGGAGTTCTCATCCTGGCAGGGGAGCAGGCACCCTGTTTTCTGGATCCACGTGTGCAAGATCCCAGCTGCACAAATCCTCCAGCATGATCTTGCTCTTCTTGCTCATGGATTCTCCTTCGAAATCTGACACCGGTGCAGATCCCTCCTATGCAAAGAGGATCAAGAGGGAATCTGGGGAGGCTGGGCACGCCTTGCCTTGGCCCTGATCCTGATCCTAGGAGGAGCTTCCCTTCCTTTCCTTTCCCTTCCTTTCCTTTCTCTCCTAGGAAAGGCCTGGAAGAGGCTGAGCACTCCAGGTCCCATCAGCCGGTAAGTCTCCCAAGAGGACCCCCCTCTCTCCTTCCAAGGAGGTCCCTTTGCCCTCCAGATGATAGCCTTCACCGCCATGGAGGACAAGTCCCCGCAAAATGGAGGACATTCAAGGGGGGGGGGGAGGGAATTGAGGACATTGCCAAATCATTTTTTTTTAAGACCCCTAGAAATATAAAGCCATGCTGTTTAGGCAGGCTCTAATGGAATATCTCCTGGAATGGAGGACATCTCCTGGAAAAAGAGGGCATCTGGTCACCCTGCTCCACAAAGCCCCCCTCCCTCTCTCCAGAGTGCATTCTGGGTGCAAAGAAGGGGTCTCCAAGGGGCACCCCTCTTTCTCCATCAGGCTCCCCCCTTTTTTCCCATCGTGTGCCCTGGGCACCCAAGGACACAGTCCCCAAGGGGGGGGG